CTACGCAGTGCAAATATCATGACTCTATCTCTATATACTGGCCATGTCCAGCATGTCAGAGGGATCTTACGAGAAGCAAGGGTGTTAAGAATCACCTTGATACCGAACCTGGTAAATGTCGTTTTGCTGAACCATTTAAACTACCAGACGACCGCGACCCCGAAGGCAAGACCGTGCCAGCTTGGTGGAAACCCCTACCCAAACCTGGTGAGGGCCAAGCTTCAGCTTCAGGTGGCCGCCAAGGCGCACACGCCAGGCCACCACGACCACGTTCCTTCGGTAACGTCGATCCGACATCTGGTACCAGCAGCTACGACCTGCTACGAGACGCCCCCGAGCGTGGAAACACGCCTTCTGCGTCTTCTAGCGATACGCCACAGGTAGCGGCCCGCCGCGGACGTCTACAAGGCGTACCACCACCTCCAGACGCAGTCAACACAGGGGATCAACTACGCAGAGCTACAAGGAACCCTCTTGCCTCCACCGGCTCTGGGGCTCCACGACTACCCGACTGGACGAGATTTGACATCCAACACAGTCTACAGAGTCTCCGTAGTCACGAACCCCATGTTGTGAAAAAGGAACTCCGAAAACTGCATCTGCGATGGTATCATGCGAAGGAGCCAAAGATGAGGCTAATCCTCGAAAAGGTGGGGCTTGACAACGTTCGACTGAACATGATCAAGGAAATCTGCGATACCTGTCGGGAATGTAGAGCATGGGAACGTCCAGGAAACTCGACATTACCATCGGTAAGCCTCCCTGGTAACTGGCTCGATGAAGGGGAAATGGACCTCATGTTTTACAAGAAACGGACCATATTTCATATTATGGATCGTTGTATTCGCCTGGCAGCAGGCCTTGAAATTTCCGACAGAGAACGCGACACAATCATCGATGCCTACCACTACTGCTGGATTGCCTATCACGGACCCTTCAAAGTTTTATACTCAGATGGAGAAGGCGCCCTGAATAATGAGGCCGCTAAAAGCATGATGGCCAATAAGGGCACGGAACTTCGTATCCGAGCACCGGGCCAACGCGCGACTTCAATTGAGTCACGAAACGGCATTCTCAGAGGCGTCCTCCACATGATTGAGGAAGAATTGAATAGACACAACATCCCTGTTGTATTCACTAGAGTATTGGCGGAAGGCATCTTCGTTACTAATGCGTTTACGTTTTATAACGGAGTATCGCCATATCAGGCACACACAGGACGTCAGCCCTCCTTCCTTCCTGATCTCGATACCCTTGACTTTCCCAAGGGACCCGAGACTTCAGGACGCGAACGAGAACGTCGTGTAAGGGAAGTCAGCCTCGAAGCCATAACTCAGGCTACTGCTGTAGCCAAGACAAATCGGGCTCTTAGGGCTAAGACGACTCCTGATGGTGCTCGCCTCTACTCGTCAGGGGATTTGGTCGACTACCACCGACCTACTGCCACCAAGGACGACCATGGAGGCTGGAACGGCCCATTCCCGGTGATCCGAAACGTGCCTGAAAGAGGACATATTGTTGTCAAGGCAGGATCTCGCGAGGTAATTGTGATGTATCCTGATGCTCGTCACACACTATACATCGAATGTCTCCTCACACGGGAACTTGGCATGGATAACATGGCCATGCAAACCGTTCTTGCCTATGTGGCACATCTCAGCGCAGGGAAACCTGCCAAAGTTTTCGGGTATATTCCCGACTACAAGGGAAACCTTAACCTGTCAGACGATAGCAAGTTTCACCCGCGCGTACACCTAGCACTACAGTATCTCGTACGAAATTACTTCAGAGTGGAACATGTAGTAGCAGTTCGATTGGCTAAGAGTGTGTCAAGCCTACCTGCAGTAAAGTACGCCACCGGGTCTACGCTGATCCACTATGACAATGACATTAGCCCGGCGTTCCACTATTACGAATGTGTGGGCACCGGCCTAAACATCTCTCAGATTACTGGTAGCACTCACTCCAGACTTATTCAATGCTTGACTTCACGTGTCCCTTCCTTAGGATTTCACGATGACCTAGCTAAATATCAGGATCCAAGCAACACGTCTGGAGAACACGAGTCGCCTGGAAACAGGCCTTCTCCAGATACACCAGATGCTTCATCGCCTAGCGAAGGCCGTCTGTCGACAATCTATGAGGAAAATGAGGAACACAATATCGAAGCCATGATGCTGGAAGAGTGGTACGACGAACTACGTATGGACCTTCATCCTACGACGATTACAGATGATTATCTCTATTGCGTCCCAACAACGATGCTGCCTAACCAATGCGTTTTGGTTTCAGCATTTGCGGACGAATATGATATTACATCATCAGATATGCTCGGAGACGAGCCTAAATCATGTGAGTCTTGTCTAGTATCTCTTTGTTCGAACACAAACGACGAGAGCTATTCCCTAGACAGTGATGAATATGGTCCTTACTTTGAACTATGCTTTACATCAGACATGTCAAAAATAGTATTGGATCAGACCCAACTTGCACAGCTCGATACCGATATGGTCGCAACGATGAGAGTATATGTATCCAATGCTGCAAAACGTGCTGTGGTTGTCAAAGAAGACGACCTACTGACCAAAGCCGACATAGCAGCACACCCAAAGGAGGTTAGTGAAGCCTTATATACTGAGCTCAAGATCTGGATTGGTAACCGATGCTTTGAGATGTACGACTTATCCAAGGCTTCGAACATCATGACATCCGGATATGTATACAAGTGGAAGTTCGTAAAGATGGGCACCGAGAACGTTAAAACCATTCGTCTCAGATTGGTCCTTCGTGGATTTATGGATACTGAGGCCTTTGATGTGGAAACATTCTCGGGAACCGCCCGAAGGCAGTCTCAACGACTCTTGGCAAGTGAAGCGGCATGTCATCCAGAGTGGATCTTAGCATCCATGGATATCGATAAGGCGTTCCTAAAAGGTTTGACCTACGAGGAACTTGCCCATGCCACCGGCGAGGAAACTCGCATGGTCTGCTTTACTCTTCCACCAGGAAGCGCTCAGGTACTTCGTACCATACCAGGCTTCTCATCCTACGACGAAAGTCGACACTGTCTTAGGCGCCTCAAACCAGGAACGGGTACTAAGGACGCCCCAAGAGCGTTCTCTCTCAAACTTCGTACGACCACACGAGCTATAGGACTTACACCGACTAGTTACGATCCTGAATTTGAATTCAGCCAAGATCTTCTGACTGGAAAACATGTCGATGACATTAATATGACAGGTCTAGAGAAAAATATCGACGACTATGTACAACGTGTCGAAAAGGTTTTTGGCAAATGCAAGCTCAACAAGCACACATATACGAACTGTGCCGTCCGCTACACTAAGAATGATCAGGGAGATGTGATCATGGACCAGGACGAGTATATCAAACAACTACGTTCTATCACACATCCAGAACTTACAGGAGCGGCGGCCGACGCCAAAGCCACGACACTTATTACCGACATGTTCGTCAGCCTGCGAGGAGCCCTCGCCTATGCCCTTCTTACTCAAATCTGGCTTATGGTATATGTGGTCTCTCTTCAGAAAATTCAAGAGCCCACCAATTTACAAGTCAGACGTTTGAATGCTGCGACGCGAAAGCTGATCAGCAGTCCGAAACGTATCACCTTCCCTCGGATGAAGCCGACGAATGAAGTCGACATCCATAGCGATTCGGGATATCGGAAGCTTACCGGGGAAGAGGATGACGAGACCAAGGGCTACGGCATACGCGGGGCCAACGTACTACGGCGAGGAAACTCGCCTCAAGGCAAGTCCGTCGTTCACCTCTGTGACGGACTATGCAAATCACACCGATTACAGGTGAGGTCCAGTTATGCTGCGGAGGCACTTGCAGCCGCACATAACCTTGATGAGTGTTACCCTACGCTCATTACTCTCCACGAGCTTAAGGCAGGGGCTTTGACTCCACGACAACTACGAGACATGCGTGAAGTTGGAGGCCTTGCTATCAAAGTCTCTCTTACCATAGACGCTGAGTCCGTCTACAAATCTTTATCAAGCAGGGATCTCAAAATACCTACAGAACGGACTCTGCTTGGACATATCAGTTGGATACGTGAGCTCATGGATATAGGTATAGTACATAATGTGCAATGGTGTGATACTAGGGATATGACCGCAGATGGGCATACAAAGGGAAGCATCGATCGGGAGCTGCTTCTGGAAGTGATGTCAGGCACTCAGTCATTTAAGTATGACGTGAAGCAATTTGTTCCCTTTCGGGGTCCCGAGGACAGAGACAAACCTAAGTCTAATCAATTTTAGTCTGTCCTTGTTGCCCTCGCGGTCCAGTTTGCCAGCACGGGCGCCTACTATAAAGGCGCCCCTTTAGCTGCTCGGAAACGAGCCTTATATTTCACGCCTGGCAACGAGCCGGCTTCGTACAACTCAGGCTCTTTGCCTTAATACACATTTGCTTGGTGAGGTATGGCCTAATTTTGGCTTACCTCTAACTAAGCCGATAGCCCTTCATTGTTTGAAGGGGCTGTCCTGTATTTGCGTGAAATACTTTGCGAGGAAACTCGCCTTACAGTCTGGTGTTTGACCAGACTGTACGCACTGTTTTCTTTTCTTTGCAAACAGTCGTGCGCGCGATCTTTGCGTGCGACTATGCTCTCCGTCTCCTCCCCTCCCGACTTTAAGGGTAGCTCTTTGGGAGATGTTACAGTATCGGGAGCATAGCTCGCGCGCCGCTGCCTTGGGCTCAAGGCACGCGCGCCCTATTTGCCCGGACACCGCGAGTGTTCGCTATGTGCTGGGAAGATCATTACATCGATCTTATCCTATCTTACCCATCCACCCCTCATACTGTACGCTCACAGCAGAGCGATGGATGTCATGTGCCATCCGATGTCCACGGTCAGCGCCTTGGAATCGGATGCTATTTGACAGGCTATATGCCCTATTTGAGTTACCAGGCTCACTTTCGACTCAAGGGGCGTCTCCAGAATGATCGCAGATCTAGAGTCTGAGGCCAAAAAATACGGCCTGAAGGTCCATATGGGCAAGACAGTGGTATTGACCAATGCATCTGACCGACCGCCACATGTAAAGTGCGGCGCGCACAACGTGAGAGTGCTCCAGCACGGCGAATCAGAGAAGTATCTTGGCAAGAAGGTTTCTCTGGATGACGTCCATGGAGCAGAATTCGGCAATCGGCTCGCTTCCGGATGGGCTGCGTTCCACGCCTTGAAGGATTTCTTGTGCAACAAGCGCCTCCAGATCCACCAGCGTCTGAGACTGTTCACAGCGTGCGTGGTGCCCTGCGTACTGTACGCCTCCAGCACCTGGACGCTCACAGCTGCCGAGGAGCGAAAGCTTCGATCCACGCAGCGCCGGATGCTGAGACAGATGGTGGGCATTGGACGGCTACCTGACGAAGACTGGGTCGAGTACATCCGGCGTGCCACCCGCGCCAGTATGCAGATTTCGGAGCGAAGCGGCGTGGACGATTGGGTGTCTATGTTCTGGAAACAGAAATGGACATTAGCAGGCAAGCTGTCCTCGCCCACCGACCGCAGATGGAGTGCGAGACTTGTTAATTGGGTACCTTGGTTTCGAGTGAACGCAAGGAGAAGCGTAGGCCGCCCGCGGAAGAGGTGGACAGACGTGTAATTGCTTTAATTTCTTGTTCTCCCGTTCCCCTGCTGCTGCTGCTGTTGCTGCTGCGCTGCCGCTGCCCCCCTCCGCCGTCCGTCCGTTCGCCGTCCTCCTGCTCTGCTGCCTCTCTCTCGCTCGCTTTCCTGCCTCCTCCTCCGCGCTGCTCTCTGCTCGGTCTGCTTCCCGTTCTGGTTCGTCGCCTCCCCCCGCGTCCTCCTGCCGTTTGCTTCCTTCTTCCTGCCGTTGCTGCTGCCGACCATACACACACTCAGCCGGGCGCCTGACGCTCGATGTCTGTCACGCCGCGCCGTGGTATTTGTCACATTTTCACACGTTACGATATTTTCCACGATTCGCCGGTAATGTCGGCCCGGCGCCTTGCCGGGGCAGGCGGAACTTCCCGCCTCCCCCACGGGCCGCTCTGCTCTGCTCGTGAAATTGCGAGCGCATGTAACTCAATGCGCTGCACTGCAACGCAATTCAAGGCCAATGAAATTCAACGCAATGCAATGCAATACGTCTTCAATGCCACGCAGCGCGAACGGAAAGTCCGACATGTCACATCGCAACGCCTCACGGCAGAGCAACTACTATTCGATTCGATTCGTTGCATGGCAACGCCTAAGGGGGACACCAAAATGATTCCACTCTACTCGTCATGTGAACGCTGCGTGGGGGTGAACAAAAATGCGATCCCACTCCACTCGCCACGTGGCAGCGCCGGGGGGGCGAAGATAGAGCATTCCGTTCTGCTTGTGACGTGACAGCGCCGCGTGGGCCGAAAAAGTTCGATTCCGCTCCACTCGCCACATGGCAACGCCTGGGAGTCAAACGGCACCATTCCACCATGCTCGTCCGGTGGCAACGCCGCGGGGCGGACACATAGAATTGTACTCCTACTCGCCAAGTGGGGACGCCGGGGCGCGGACAGATACATGTCACTGCTACGCGCCACGTGTCAACGCCGTGCGGGCGAGAGCAAATGGTGCTACTGTGCTCCACGTGGCAGCGCCGCGATGGCGAACGCAAATCTCGACTTGCCACGCGGCAGCGTTGCGGCTGACGACTACGACGAAGACGACGACGATGACGACCACGACGACGACGGCGACGACGACGACTGCGGCGGCAAAGACGACGACGTCGTCGTCGTTGTCGTCGCTGTCGTCGTCCAGTTGTTGGGCCAACCAGGTTTTTCCATGTGGCTGTTTCGGTGGTTGCTTGCCCGGTTGGTTCGCTGGTTGGCTGGTTGGTTGGTTGGCTGGCGGGTCGGTTGGTCCGTTGTGGCTGGCCCCCCCTCACACGGACAGCGCCCCCAGGGCCTGCAATAGATTCTCTTTGCCCACGTACCGATTTTTTGTACTACTATTACTACCACTACTACTACTACTACTACTACTACTACTACTACTACTACTACTACTACTACTACTACTACTACTACTACTACTACTACTACTACTATACTACTACTACTACTACTACTACTACTACTACTACTACTACTACTACTACTACTACTACTACTACTACGAATATTATTACGAATACTACCACGAATACTATTACGAAAACTAATACGACTACGCTTACTAATCGCATTATCATTACTACTACGATCATCATTGATACCATTACTTTGACTCTGATTACTACTACTAAGGCTACGACGACCGCGACGACGACGGCGACGACGACTACTACGACTATTGTTACTGTTACATATACCACTCTATCTACCACTACTACGACTACTACTACTACTACTACTACTACTTCTACTACTACTACTACTACTACTACTACTACTACTACTACTACTACTAGTACTACTACTACTACTACTACTGCCACTACTACTACTACTACTACTACTACTACTACTACTACGACTACTACTACTACTACTACTACGACTACTACTACTACTACTACTACTACTACTACTACTACTGCTACTACTACGACTACTACTACCACTACTACTACTACTATTATTACTACTACGAGTACTATTGCTACTACTACTGCTACTCATTCGACGATTCTTGCCAGTATGACTACTACTATGTGTACTACAAGAGCAACAACTACTATTACATATACGACTATTTTCATTATTACTACTACTGCTGCTACTACTACTTCGACGACTGCCACTGTAATTAGCTTGGCGAAGGACCCAACCATATGCAGTTGTGAATACCGCAATTGTGAAAACCATCTTTGCCCGCGCTCCCTATGTGGCCACAGCTTCCCGCCGGAACCCGACATGCTCAGGAACACGTTCGTGGCCGTCTTCGCGGGCGCCGACGACGACAAGGACGGCGTCCCTCTGACCGAGGAGCAGAAGCAGAAGAGGGCTTTGAGAGCCATGGGGGAGGAGGTGGCGTTGCACGTGGACAAGGCGGAGTACGACGCCCAGGCGCGGTTGTTGAAGCAGCACAACTATGGGGCCACGATCCTCGTGAGGGGTGTGCCGAAATTGCCCGGGGCCGCCATGCGAACCCTGCAACTGGCGCCTTCGGTGGAACTCCTGTGGGGCCGCGATCCTCGCAAGGGGCGTGCCGAAATGCCCCGAGGCCGCCATGCGAACCTTGCCACTGGGGCCTTCGCTGGAGCTCCCGCGCGGCCACGATCCTCGTGAGGGGTGTGCCGAAATGGCCCGAGGCCGCCATGCGATCGCTGCCGCTGGCGCCTTCGGTGGAGCTCCTTATGGGGCCGCGATCTTCGTGAGGGGTGCGCCGACATGGCCCGAGGCCGCCATGCGAACCCTGCAACTGGGGCCTGCGGTGGAGCTCCCGATGGGGCCACGATCCTCGTGCGGGGTGCGCCGAAAAGGCCCGAAGCCGCCATGCGAACCCTGCCACTGGCGCCGTCGGCGGAGCTCTCTATGGGACCACGATGCTCGCGAGCCGGAATGGCCCGTGGCCGCCGTGCGAACCCTGCCACTGGGGCCTTCGGCGGAGCTCCCTATGGGGCCACGATCCTCGTGAGGGGTGTGCCGAAATGGCCCGGCCATGCGAACCCTGCCACTGGGGGTCTTCGGTGGAGCTCGCTATAGGGCCGGATCCTCGTCAGGCGTGTGCTGAAATGCCCCGGGGCCGCCATGCGAACGCTGCCACTGGGGGCCTTCGGTGGAGCTCCCTATGGGGCCGCGATCCTTGTGAGGGGTGTGCCGAAATCGCCCGAGGCCGCCACGCGAACCCTGCCACTTGCGCCTTCGGTGAAGCTCCCTATGTGGCCACGATCCTGGTGAGGGGTGTGCCGAGATGGCCCGAGGCCGACATGCGAACCCTGCCGCGGCGATCCTCGTGAGAGGGTGCGCAGAAATGGCCCGAGGCCGCCATGCGAACGCTGCCACTGGAGCCTTCGGTCGAGCTCCCTATGGGGCCACGATCCTCGTGAGAGGTGTCCCGAAATGGCCCGAGGCCGCCATGCGAACCCTGCCACTGGAGCCTTCGGTGGAGCTCCCTATGGGGCCGCGATCCTCGTGAGGGGTGTGCCGAAGTGGCCCGAGACCGCCATGCGAACGCCATTGGCGCTGTCGGTGGAGCTCCCTATGGGTGGGGCCACGGGGGCCGCTACGATCCTCGTGAGGGGCGTGCCGAAATGGCCCGAGGCCGCCATGCGAACGCTGCCACTAGGGCCTTCGGTCGAGCTCCCTATTGGGCCCACGATCCTCGTGAGGGGTGTGCCGAAATGGCCCGAGGCCGCCATGCGAACGCTTCCACTGGAGCCTTCGGTGGAGCTCCCTATGGGGCCGCGATCCTCGTTAGAGGTGTGCCGAAATGGCCCGAGGCCGCCATGCGAACGCTGCCACTGGAGCCTTCGGTGGAGCTCCTTATGGGGCCACGATTCTCGTGACGGGTGTGCCGAAATGGCCCGAGGCCGCCACGCGAACCCTGCCACTGGGGGCCTTCGGTGGGGCTCCCTATTGGGCCCACGATCCTCTTGAGGGGTGTGCCGAAATGGCACGAGGCCGTCATGCGAACGCTGCCACTGGGGCCTTCGGTCGACCCCCCCATGGGGCCACGATCCTCGTGAGAGGTGTGCTGAAATGGCCCGAGGCCGCCATGCCAACGCTTCCACTGGAGCCTTCGGTGGAGCTCCCTGTGGGGCCACGATCCTCGTGAGGGGTGTGCCGAAATGGCACGAAGCCGCCATGCGAACGCTGCCGCTGGCGCTGTCGGTGGAGCTCCCTATGGGTGGGGCCACGGGGGCCGCCACGATCCTCGTGAGGGCTGTGCCGAAATGGCCCGAGGCCGCCACGCGAACGCTGCCAGTGGGGCCTTCGGTCGACCTCTACGGGGCCACGATCCTCGTGAGGAGTGTGCCGAAATGGCCCGAGGCCGCCATGCGAACGCTGCCACTGGAGCCTTCGGTGGAGCTCCCTACTCGTGAGAGGTGTGCCGAAATTGCCCGAGGTCGCCATGCGAACGCTTCCACTGGAACCTTCGGTCGAGCTTCGTATGGGGCCACGATCCTCGTGAGGGGTGTGCCGAAATGGCCCGAGGCCGCCATGCGAACGCTGCCACTGGGGCCTTCGGTGGAGCTCCCTATGGGGCCACGAAGCGCTGCACTGGGTGGGTGAAGCGCAGGGGCAAGGGAGGAGTGACGGGAGGGGGGAGGAGAGGAGAGGAGGAGGAGGAAAAGGAGGAGGAGGAGGAAAACGCGGGGCGACGCGTCTTCAAACCGAGGACCCAACACCACAGGATGGTTGGGATCTACTCCTGCTACAACCATTACTACCACTACTACTGCCACTACCACTACTATGTTATACTACTGCTGCTGCTGCTGCTGCTGCTGCTGCTACTACTACTACTACTACTACTACTACTACTACTACTACTACTACTACTACTACTACTACTACTACTACTACTACTACTACTACTACTACTACTACTACTACTACGAC